CGTGGCACTCTACTCATCCACCCAGTCTGATAGTCAAAAAGTAGATCCTTTCAATGAAAGGAGGGTGCCTTGATAATGGTGAGGGGCTCATGGTTCAGGGGATTGGAAGCACCCTCTCCTTCAGATCAAATGTGATTACATCCTTTTCCCTATTACTGAATGAGACCTGTAAATTTATCTTTTAACCATGTGTGTAATAATTGTTTGATGCAATCCCAGATACCAATGTTACTGGAGAATAACTACTGTACAGTTTATACTATGTAATGACATACTGTTGAGAAGAAAATTAAGCACTTACTGTGAAAATGTGGTGAATGTAACATAGTATTCATACTTTAGCACTACTTGTTACCTTACCAGTTAGTTTTAATGTGTATATAAAAAACAGTAATCTTTTGTGTTACAATATACTGCATATTCCTTTATCAACAGAACTGGGCAACAACTTTGTTAATCAAGGTATAGGTGTCCTGTGCCAAGGAATTGAAGTTTATGCCAAACTGTTCAGAAGGTATGTTACGTTGATAAATTCCTTTAATAGTAGGGAAGAAACGAACTCAAAAATGAATGAGTGTGATGAGATGATAGTCTGCCTCTGTTTCATAGTTTTATATCTTTCACTGTTTGTGCAGACTGCACTGTACGGTGGAACCTCGGCTTACGAACGCCCCACCATCTAGGGAATTGGATCTGTGCTCCAGTTCCTTAACCCTTTGACTGTCGCGGCCGTATATATACGTTTTACGAGGTGCCGTGTTTGACGTATATATACTCATAAATTCTAGCGGCTTCAAATCAAGCAGAGAAAAGCTGGTAGCCCACATGTGAGAGAATGGGTCTGTGTGGTCAGTGTGCACCATATAAAAAAAATCCTGGAGCACGCAGTGCATAATGAGAAAAAAAAAAACTCCAACCGTTTTTTTTAATTAAAATGCCGACTTTGTGGTCTATTTTCGCATAGTATTTATGGTTGTATTCTCGTTTTCTTGGTCTCATTTGATAGAATGGAAAACATATTACAGAAATAGAGGTGATTTTGATTGATTTTACTATAAAAAGAACCTAGAAATGGAGCTCAAAGTAGGGGAAATGTTTGATTTTTGCCAATGTTCAAAAGTAAACAAATGATGCCATTGTCCAATAAATATCCAACTAGCCATTCTAATATGCAGTCATGAATCGGTTGATGTTATTTATACAGTTATTACAGCATTGCAGTAGTCTGCATAATAGTAAGTAATATTTTTTGTTTGAATAAAAATTCAAAATAGAAAGCAAGAGTAATATCAGAAGGGCCTGGAGACGTGACTGATGAACAAAGAAAATGTTATTTTTGAGCCAGGAATGTCTGCATGTTCATTCTGACCTTATTTTGAAATTGTCATATTTTTTAGTTTTCGTGAAATTGGCCAAATTGCAAATTTCTGACCACATTATTAGGTAGTTGAAATCAGTAAATGGGCAGTTTCTTGTATTCAATCGATAGAAAAAATGAAGTTCTAAAAAAATAGCTATGAATTTGGCGACGGGAACAATGGAATTAGCCAAAATAGGGCCAAAATGGGCGAAATCGCCCATTTGTAAAACAGCCCGAGGTCGCTAACTTCGCAGAGCATAAATTTTCCCTCAGTTTTCCAAAATTTCGTTTTTTTGGGGGTCATTTCAATCGGGGAAAAAGGGTTTTCCTATCATTTCATAAGAAAAAAAAATTTTTTTTTTTTTTTTTAATTTTTTCACACCAGGAACACCTCAGGATTGGGGTTGCGAAGCAAAAGGCTAAAAATTAATAAAAATAAAAATTATTATTAGTACGTACGTATCACTACACTACTACTAATAAAATAAAAAAAATTAAATATAAGTATGAATAATAATTATAATACAGTGGCCCCCGCATAACGATGGCACGCATAGGATTTTTCCGCATAAAAAGATTACTTTTATCGCAAAAAAATTTTTCCCCGCATACCGAATTAAAAAACCCCATACCCATTTTCGCCGAGACCGTCCAATGTGCCCTCACATGTGCCGCCGTCCCATTGTTTACCAGCCAGCCTCCGCGGTAACATCCAGCATACACTCGGAATATTTCGTATTATTACAGTGTTTTCGGTGGTGTTTCTGGAAAATAAGTGACCATGGGCCCAAGAAAGCTTCTAGTTGCAACCCTGTTGGTAAAAAAGGGTGAGAATTAGTAATGTGAAATTAAGAAAGATTTGAAGGGTTTGGGGCTAACCCTGAGAAGCCTATGGCCAGTTGTGGAATCCATTGTGCCTACTTCAAAGATTAAGGAAATGTGTGCAGAGTGTTTTGAACTGCAAACCTTTATAGATGAAAATCACCCTGACACAGCTGTTGCAAGCCGTGCTGGTGACTATTTCAATGACAATGTTATGGCCCATTTTAGAAAGTCTTGAAGAAACGGGAGGTACAGAGCTCTATGGACAGATTTGTTGTGCGACAGAGGTCCAGTGACTCTGAAGCTGGTCCTAGTGGCATTAAAGAAGAAGGGAAGTAACCCCAGAAAAGGACTTGCTACCTCAAGTCCTAATGGAAGGGGATTCCCCTTCTAAACAGTAAGAAGATAATGCTCTCCCCTCCTCCCATCCCATCAATCATCACCAGATCTTCAATAAAAGTAAGTGTCATGTAATTGTGCATGCCTTTTTCAGTTTGTGTGTATTAAAATTAACATTTCATGTGGTAAAAAAAATTTTTTTTCATACTTTTGGGCGTCTTGCACGGATTAATTTTATTTCCATTATTTCTTATGGGGAAAATTAATTCGCATAACGATTATTTCGCATAACGATGAGCCCTCTTGCACGGATTAAAATCGTTAACCGGGGGTCCACTGTACAATAATTATAACACTAAAAACAATATAATATAATAATAATAATAATAATATGTCATTTTTAGACATTTTTCGTAATTTTTTTCATATTTTTGTGTCAAATGCTTCAAAATACAAATTGGTAACCCTGTGGGTGGCTGTACATACAACTGTTAGACCACATCTTAGTGCCAACCAAGGGTCAAAAGGAAGAGGAGGTGCGCTGTTCTGAGTGACCACAGCAGACCCTTGGGACGCATAATTTTGAAGAGACAGTATTCACGTACGATCAGCAAGAAGCTCAGGAAGTGATTAAAAACTACAAAAAAAGCTAGAGTAACGAAGAAGGCAGCAGCAGAGAGTGAGGCACTTCGCTACCACCACCACTGTGGCCACCACCACCACTGGCATCACCATCACTCACCATGTGGCCTATTTTATTCATTCCAGAGTATATATCATGTTTCTATGTTATGAATATTGTTTATGCCATATTAGATGAATTATGGTAGATAAATAAGCTGTAGAGTTGATATTAGCATTATTTTGCCATGCTTCCTGAGAGGCTGGAACAGATTAACCCTTTGACTGTTTTGGTCGTATATATACGTCTTACGAGCCACCTTTTTTGACGTGTATATACGTATACTCATAAATTCTAGCGGCTTCAAGTCAAGCAAGAGAAAGCTGGTGGGCTCATATGTGAGAGAATGGGTCTGTGTGGTCAGTGTGCACCATATAAATAAAATCCTGCAGCACGCAGTGCATAATGAGAGAAAAAAACTCCAACCGTTTTTTTAATTAACCCTTTCAGGGTCCGTCCCATAGATCTACGGCTTCACGTTGAGTGTCCAAACCGTAGATCTATGCCAAAATTCTAGCGCCGTTAAATTTAGCGTGAAAACGTTCATAGGCCTACATGTGAGAGAACGGGTCTGCATGGTGGGTGTGCGCCATAAACAAAAAATCTAGGCGCCCGCATAGCATTGTGGGAACGCCGGCTCAGTTACCCTTGTTCAACATGCCTCGTCGCAAGTCAGCTCTCACTCCCCGGAAAATTGGGACTCTCCTCTTCCTATCTGATAGTTCTGACACTGATGGAAGTGGAAATGAAGACGAATTCTACGGCTTTGATCAGTTAGTGACCGAAAAGAATGACCAGGACATCGATAATAGTGCAGAAAACCCTGACGATCCTCAACCTTCTACCTCTGGTGTGGGCACTCGTGACTCACGGTCGGTTGTTCCTCAACGCAAGAGAAAACTAATATTTTCGCGTGGCCAGGCCTCTGACTTCAGTAATGATGATGATAGTGACGTGGATTGTGATTTTATTGCGCTCGACGATCATTCGAGTAGTGATAGTGAGGAATCATATTCACCAGTGAAGCGTCGGTATGTTCGCCGCCGCATGCGCTCGGGTAGTGTACCCTATGCTGTGCCCAGGGGATGGAGTACATCCTGGAGTACATCCCGGAGTACATCCCAGAGTACATCCCGGAGTACATCCCGTGGCCCTACACCAGTTTTAGGTAGTGATAGTGAGGATGATGTGGCTACCCTTGGCATGGATAGACCACAGGCATCAGTGGATGGTGTTAGTGGTGATGGTAGTGGCACCGCCATGCGTGACTCACCAGGGCCCCGCTGGGACCCACGCT